TAACCGAATTTTCTACACATTCAACCATGTCTGCCAAACTTTTAAGGAATTTGCTTTGTGAACCAAGAACTTCAGAGAAGTAAGGAACTCAAAGAACTCTCAAGGTGTTCACCAAACTCTCTAGTTGTAGTCTCCAACTTCAGGAGTCTACAAATCAAAAAAAAAAAAAAATTCTGCAACAAATCTGCTACTTGGAGAACTCTTAAGTTAGTAAATTCTCTGTTTTTTACTTATTTCAATCTCTGTTTATAGTTGTTTCAATAACTTTATAGTAGTTCTCTATTATAGTTCTTTGTTATTTCAATCTATGTTTTAATGATCCCCGACTATCGGCAATTATTTTTAGCCAGTCGTAGTGGCTTGGTGTTAATAGGATAGATTTGGTTTATGCTCTGCCATCAGGTTACATAAACTGTTGTATCCATTCGACGTTTATTTCAATATATGTTATAATCACCGACCAACGACAATCGTTTATGACCAGCAATTGTTCCAATCTATTGATAGGATAGAGTTCATGCTCATTCGGCAGTTTACAGATAAGGTTGTGACCAGTTGATAATGTATTTTCTTCTTCAATTTTTTTGTGTACCTTTTCTTCTTCATTTCATATATATTTTTTTCATTCTTAGTATGTTTAAGTTTCTTTATTTTGGTTCAAATGGGTGATAAACCACCCGTCTATTGCAGGATGATGCCTATCGAAGTTTTAAATTCGTCGCTATATCGAAGTTTTAAATCCAGGTTTGTTTGACCCGAATTAATACTTTTACTATTACTATTATGATTGTAATGTTATATTTATTTATAATTTTATATTTTATTAAAATATTAATAATATTTTAATAATAATTAATTAAAAATTTATATAACTTTATAACTGATAATTAAGCTTTCCTAATTGAGGTTAGATTGCTATACTTTTATTCAACTCTCCTTAATAACCACTTAGGTAAATGTTTATTTACTTTTTTATTTTATATATTATTTTGATGCATTCATTAATTTTTAAATTAGACTATAATATTTACACTCATTGATTATTAATTTTTATATTTGTAGTGGACCTGTGTACCCTTGATGAGGTTGAAAACTATAAGATGAAACCAGAACACAACATAATGCAACATATAGGAGCTGTTAGTGACATGTGCCAAATAAGTTGTAAGAATATACATCTTCCCAATGAAAGGAGGATCCAAATATTTTTGAAATCTTTACCTAATGAATGGGAGCCAGTAGCACAATCTATACGGGACAAGTATAAGAAAAAAGAAATACGAACATTCTTTCAAGCTACTTGTGAAATTGAATTGGCTGAAGAACAACGCATTTTGCAAGGTATTAGGATGATTGTCACACTTTCTCTCTTCCCAAATCTATGTAATGGAAGACATGTTGGTTATTGTGGCAATGGAAGAGATGGTAGAAACAGATGATTATGCAAAACAAGAGCTAGAATATTAGATGATGAATGAGCAATTGATGTTTATAATGAGTTAATGTATCATCCCTCTAGGAGATTAAGTAAAAACATGCCCGGTAATAAGGCAAAATGATATGTATAAATATCCTTCTTATTTTATAGGAGATTTTGTAAATATTGATTGTTGATATTCTTTTTTTTTGGGAAATTGTAAATGTTCCTCTTATTGAATAGAACCATGTTTCTTGATCCTATTGATTAGTATCATATTTTTATTTTCATATAATTTTACGTATTTGCTATTGTTTCTACTACAATTTATAAGAATGCCATATCAAAATTATTGAACAATATTTTTTTTGCCAAGTTATTTATGGAGTTGGAATTGAGGTTAAATTAGTTTATTTACTTGCAGGGCATTTTACTCCCCTTGGATTAAACTCCCTGTGTATTTTGCAAAATTGCATTTAGGTAATGTTTTTTTTATCAACCCCATTTGTTTTATATACTAAATTCCTACTATTGAAGTAGAAAAATACAATTCTCTAAATTGCCATTTTTTACACATGATTTTGTTTACATGTTTTTCGTTTCCCTATTCTAATCTATATTAATAAATTATACATGTTTACCAAGACATTTACTATTTCACTCCCACTTAAATTTTTGCAAAAAAAATTCCTTTGAATTTGTTCGCATTAATTTTTGTGCTCCATATTTACGCGCAAAATTTGTGTTGACATCATCTATTTGGGCAAACACATCCATGTCTTCCTTCATGGTAAAATGCATGAAATTGGTTATACCATATTTTTTATTTCCACCATTTTTTAGAGTATATTTGTTGCCTAAAACACTCCAAATTTTATAGGCAAAGTTGTAGGAGCAGTAGACATTGTACAATTCATTGGATAAGCAATTCAAGATATGGTTCTTGCAAATGTGGTTTGCCGTGAGACATTGTTTTGCAACAACAGAATGGGTTGGTTCCTCCATATTCAATGGGTTCAATTTAGTTAAAGCATATGCTACCCATAACTAGTCTAAGGCAAGCAGAAGGCATTGTCTCCAGCGCTTGTAATTGGTTCCATTGAATGGTTCAATCTTAGAAAAATTGGGAGTTATTGATAGTATCTGGTTTTCCATGAAAGGAGTAGAAGAGATTGGTTCCATAAATCTGGTTTTAAGAGTGTTGTAAAAATAATAAATGGATGGCATAGTAGAACTTATCAGTTAATACTTTCAAACCTAAAGTGCAGCAGTGTTGTAGAATTGATGTTGAGAAACTAAGAATTGCAATGAGTAAGAGGGCTGAGTTGTGCCACTTGGTCACTTTCCTTAAAACCACATTTGCCCCCTATGGTGTAGTCAGGTGAAAACAAATCGGTCGCCAAGATAAAATAGCCCACAGGCTTCTGGAAACAAACCTCCATGAACCACTTAGAAATAATGCTCAGAGATGGAAGAATGATATAGAAGGAATCAATGTGTCATTTTACCCCCCTTACATGCATATAGTGATATATAGTGCTTTCCTCCTATGGGTCTCTACCTATAGAGGAAGCAAGTCTATTAATATACTCAAGTCTATCTCTTTCCCAAGAAATGTGGGGCAAGAGCTCTTCACTTACATGCAAGAGGAGAGAAGAGGAAAAGACAAAAAAACAAAGGCGAAAGGGAGGGAGGTGAGATTCTTGAAATTTTGAATCTCCCTCCAACAATGATGAATAGTTTCTAGGTCCTTCCAAAAGTTTACAAACCAAATCAATGTGTATTGATCTCTTGGAAAGCTTGGTTGTGATTGGGATAGCTTCCTTTGCAATAATGCTAAATAAACATACATTTTAATTCAGGCAATTAAATATTTTGCTTTCCATAGGGATTTCCAATTGAGTCCGTGGAACACCCAATCCGCATTTGATGATTCAAGACCTCATCGTAAGTTGTAATCGAAGTGAGGTGTAATTAGTCAAATGGCTAGCCATAGGGAATATGCTATTTAATATGGATTGGGTGACATTATTTAGAAATTGATATGTACGTATTTTAAAAGATTGGCATTCCAAGAGTTGCAACTTAGGTCAATCAACATGGAAAAATAGTGTCAACTTTTACTTAAAATCATTTTATTATATGGCTGGTTTGTTTTTAGTGGAACATACATTGATGTAAAACTCAATTGATGGGTTTAAAATTTTAGTGGACTATTCGAGCTTTTTTGATGTGATAATCAATGTAAATAATACATTGATTTTAATCTATGAAAAAGTTAATTGATGGATTTGATGTAAACCTTACACTGAAAACAAACGTGTGAAAATATGGATTGGATGTGAAGTTTTACACTAGTACGTATTTACCGTTTACACTAAAAATAAACATGTGCAAATGAGAGCTAATGACAGAGTTTTACGTCGATTTGCATTTACACCAAAAACAAACACAACCTATAAAAAAAGATCTATGGTACTAGGACATGGTACTTTGATCAATCAAAACCTACCGGTGAATTTTGATAAAAACCACCTAATTGATTGACACATTTTATGAAACCGATTTATTAGTCATAAGTTTTTGTTTTTGAATATCATGTCTTTTTGGTATCATTGTCAACCCTACTATATAATGCCAATACTTGCCTTAGCCTTGTTTGAATCACGATCAAACACTTTAATTGATCCATGATCATGTCAATGACTCGATATTGTAAGACTTGGATCTAACATTAAACCCGAATGCTCATTGGGTCATAGTCATAGTTTTATTGGTGAACCAGATGCTGTTAGCCCATTCAAACCATAAAAACCATTAAGTTAATGGGGAAGCAAAAAGGTCACTAGATCATCGGGAAGCAAAAAGGTCATTGGATCACCATTAAAGCATTTGGTCTTTTAAGTGGTACATTAATCTTTTATTTGTAAGAATACTGGTTTAACTTGTACATAATTAAGAGAAAATTCTACTTTAGTACCTTAAACTTTGGGGGTAGTGTCAAGTTAGTACCCATACTTTCAAACGTTTCACTATAATACCTAAACTTTCAAAAAGTGTCAAATTGGTCCCTGCCACTAACCAACCATCAGTTATTTGTTGAAAATGTCAAAACTACCCTTGAAAAGAAGACACTATTCATTATCTTCTACCTTGAGACTGAACTAGTTATCTTCATAGAAAAAGGGAAAAAACATGAAGTATGATAGAGGGAAACAATAACTGAAAGCAAAGAAATAACTAGACAAGAATATGTTTATGATTTAAAGGTAGAAAACAATGACTTCATTAGACTAAAATTTCAAATACCTCAACCAGTTCAGTCTCAAGGTAGAAGGCAATGAATAGTGTCTTCTTTTGAAGGGTAGTTTTGATATTTTCAATAAATAATTGATAGTCGGTTAATGACAAAGACCAACTTTACACTTTTTAAGAGTTTAGGCAGTGTAGTGCCTAAAGTGACATCTTCCGTATAATTAATTACGGGTTTGATTATGCATAATAATATGAACAATTCATTATGGGCCGTTTATTTGGATTTGTCTATTTATAGCCCATTTAGCCCAATGATTCCAAGATCATGATCCCTAATTCTCCGTGTACCCTATCGGCCCACCCAGCAGGTCAGCACTCCATCACCCTCGAAGACTCAAGGGAACCAGAACACAACGACAACCAAATGCTAAACGAAATAGGTCTTTGAGTTCGCTTTTGAAGGAGAAGAAGCTCGTATAGTGATCGAAGATGGCAGGGAGATTAAGCAATGTAGCGTCTCGAATCATGGGCGGCAACGGCGTAATTGGTCGATCCGTCGCTTCCTCTCTTCGCCTTCGCTCCGGCATGGGCCTCCCCGTCGGCAAACATATTATCCCCGACAAACCGGTAACTGAAAAAATTTGTTAATTAAACCCTAAAGCTATATAGAAAAGAATATTAGAACTATTTCCATTTGATTGACAACAATTCCTGAAACCACGCTCCATTTCCTTTTCTTTGTTTCTCAGCTCCCCGTAAACGATGAGCTGCTTTGGGACAACGGGACCCCATTTCCTGAACCCTGCTTGGATCGGATTGCAGATACTGTTGGAAAGGTAATCCCTTTTTGAAACTCGTTTCCAATTGTTATTGTCTTTATTTTTTTTTTCTAATTTTGAAAAAAGTTGGGGAATTGAATAGATTTAGTTGTTTTTCGATTGAACTGCTGACTATTAGTTATATTTTCAGTATGAAGCATTGGCTTGGTTGTGTGGAGGGTTGGGGTTCTTCGCGTCTCTTGGTCTATTAGTCGTCTGGAATGACAAGGCCTCCAAGATACCATTTGTAAGTTGAAAATCCCCGCTTTGTACTTGAATCTGCTAATATATGTGTTTTGTACTTCTGTTTGGATATATAGGTTTGAATAGAAGTTGCCACGCTACAGCCATTTACTTATTCTTTATAAACTATGGGACTGTATCTCCATCACTGATCTGAACGTGAAAAGTTTGTATATGTATATATGTAGAAGGAATAAAATTAGCTTTATTATTATTTGAGTTCTGATAGGTACCTGATCCCACAAGCTGAATGATAATGCAACGAGCTGGTTCGATGGAGCTCACCCTCCTGAAATGGACAAGAGAAGAGAAGAGGAGAAGAAGAAGAGAAGAAGAGAAGGGAAAGAGAAAAGAGAGAGAGAGAGAGAGAGAGAGAGAGAGGAAATAGGATTTCTCATTCATATCCTCTTCATGCTTATTACAAGATACTTATACTTCACGTAGCTGGTAGATAGTGACTGCTAACAGATTCACGTTCAGCTCTCCTGACGTGGATGGCACGTGTAAACAAACTTCAGAGGGGGTCTTGAATGATTGATATGAGGGATTCCTTGGAGCTGGGTCTCACGCATGATGGGCCTGGGCTGTGTGGGTTGATTGGTTCATCAGGCTGCCTCTATCATTCCCCTCTCCATCGAGAAGGTCCTTGTCCTCAAGGTCAATAGTAGGGAACTGTTTCTGCAGCTGTTCGAAGTCCTCCCATGTGGCATCTTCCTGAGGGAGGTTTTGCCATACAACCAATGCTTGCTTTCAGGTTCTCTTTCCACACTTCACCCATCTAAAATCAGTGATTCTTTGGGGCTCAAACACCACGTCTCCGGCCTCTGTGAAGGGAGGAAGAGTCGGGCTTACAATGTTGGTAGTGGCTAGACATGGTTCTAAGATGCTAACATGGAAGATAAGATGTAGTTTAGAGCCAGTAGGAAGGTCTGAACAATAAGCAACAACTCTAATGCATTCAAGCACCTGGAAGGGCCCAAAGTAACATGGGGCCAACTTCTGTGATGCTCGATGGGCCATTGATGACTGTCTATAAGGCTGGAGCTTCAAAGTTGTCTTCGGAAAATTCTAACTCCTTATGCTTTTGATCATAGACCAGCTTCATATGCTGTTGGGCCTGTTGTAGGTGAAATTTGAGGGCCTTCAGTATGCTGTCGCGAGTGGTTAATTGAACTTTGACCTCTTCTACCGCCGATGTGCCTGGTTCATAGGGTAAGATGGCTAGAGGATCACGACCATATAATATTGAAGGGTGTGGTCCCTGTTGAAACATGGTATGTGGCATTATACCAGTATTCGATCCATGGAAGCCACTAGTCCCAGTGTTTCGGTTTCTCCCCCACGAAACATCTCAAATAGGTCTCTAAGCACGGGCCACGGTAGCAGCCAAATACGGGTGAGAGAGAGCAATGAAATGTGCACACTTACTTAGTCGGTCCACCGCCACTAGTACCGCAGACTTCCCATTGGATTTGAGGAGCCTAGTTATAAAGTCCATAGTGATCTCCTCCCAGACCCTTGCAGTACGGGCAAGGGCTACAACAGCCCTACAAGGGACTAAGTGCTGTACTTTTGCTGTTGGCAAGTGGTGCACTTAGCTACATACTCTTGCACCATGTGCTTCATGCCCTTCTAATGGTAATGGGCTGCTAGCCGCTTATAGGTACGAAGCACCCCTGAATGTCCCCCAATAGCTGAGTCATGAAACAGTTGCAGTAACTCCTGTTGATGCTTAGAATTCTCAGGCACAACAAAGAGGCCCTTATAGAAGAGAAAGCCATCCTTCACTAGATACCCCAATGACAACATTGGGCCCGTAGCTAGGTGAGGATGGGGTCTTCATGGCTTCTTGTCATAATTGGTCAAGTAAGGGGTAGATGGGTTGAGACATGCCCAACAAGTGGAGTTCATCCGCCCTAGAAAGGGCATCCACTACCGCATTGGAAGGCTCGTGTTTGTACTCAATTATGAAATCGTAGCCTAATAATTTGTAGGCTCATTTCTACTATTCTGGGCCTAGAACCCATTGCTCCAACAAATGTTTTATGCTTTTATGGTCCGTTCTCGTAGTAAATCTCTTGCCTAACAAATACACCCTCTACTTTTGGATGGCCATCAGTTCTTTGTCATAGGTCGACTTGGCAGGCTTGGGCCTTAATGGCAGTTCGCGGCTTGTACTGGAGGTCGTACTCGCTGAGTTCAATGGCCCACTTCGTCAACCGACCGGAGACCTCGGGCTTAAGCAATACTTGCCTCAGAGGTTTGTCGGTAAGAACGATAATAGTATGAGTTTGGAAGTATGGGCGGAGCTTTCGAGCTGCAATTATCAATGCGTATGTTAGTTTTTCCATCTCTGGGTATCTCGTTTCTGCTCCCTGCAATACTTTACTAACATAATAGATGGGTCRTTGGACCCGATCTACTTCCTTTATTAGTACCGAACTAACCACCCCATCGCTTGCTGAGAGGTAGAGTTCTAAAACATCGCCCTCATCGGGCCGGGTTAGGGTTGGCACGCTAGTAAGGTATTTCTTGAGCTCGTCGAACGCAAGCTGGCAATCTTGGGTCCATTCGAACCCTTTGCTCTTTATTGCCTTAAAGAACGACAAATAGCCGTCCGCCGACTTAGACATGAAACGGCTTAGGGCGGCTATGCGGCCATTCAACCTCTGAACCTCCTTCGGCTTCCGGGGCGGTTTCATGTCTAAGATGGCCTTAACCTTATCCGGGTTGGCTTCAATGCCTCACCGGTTAACGATGTATCCTAGGAACTTACCCGAGGTTACACCGAATACACACTTGTTTGGATTCAATTTCATACTGAACTTACGCAAAATTCCAAAAACAGAATGCAAGTCTTGTATTAATTCATGTGAGAATTGGGTTTTGACGACCATATCATCCACATAGCACTCTACTTTTCTACCGATTACCGGCGCAAACAATTTATTTACAAGCCTTTGAAAGGTTGCCCCTGCGTTTTTCAACCCGAAGGGCATAACCTTGTAACAGTATAGACAGAATTCAGTGATGAAGGCAGCCTTTTCTTCATCCACCGGGTCCATCTTGATCTGGTTATAGCCCGAGTAGGCATCCAAGAAACTTAGCAACTCATGCCCTGAGGTCGCGTCTACCAAACGGTTGATTCTGGGGAGCGGGAAGCAGTCTTTCGGGCAAGTCTGGTTCAGGTCGGTGTAGTCGACGCACATGCGCCACTTGCCGTTGGCCTTCTTTACCAGGACGGGGTTGGCTACCCAGCTTGGGTAGTGGACTTCTCTTATGAAGTCCGCCGCGAGGAGCTTCTCGACTTCCTCATCAACCGCTTTCCACCGTTCCGGGGCTAGGTTGCGTTTCTTCTGTCTAATGGGCCTAACTACAGGATCAGTGTTCAGCTTGTGAGTTATGAGTTCAGGGTCTATACCAGGCATTTCTGCCGCCGACCATGCAAAAATATCTAAATTTTGAAGTAAAAAACTTACCAGTTCGGATCGTAGGGTCTCTTGGACGGAAGCGCCAATCTGGAGCGTCCGAGATGGGTCTGATGTTGAGGTCGGAACCGCGACTGTTTCTTTCGTGGGCGCGGCTCGTTCTTCGCCTTGCTCCGTGGGTCGTTCTAGTTCAAGGTAATCGGTCACCTTGGTTTTCCCCTTTAGGGCGGCAACGTAGCACTTGCGGGACTCGAGCTGGTCGCCCCGCACTACTCCCACACCGAAGTCTGTTGGGAACTTCATAGCCAAGTGGTAAGTGRAGACYWCYGCYCGTAGGACATGGGTGATCGGTCGACCTACTATGGCATTGTAGGGAGAGGGGGTCGCTACCACTAAAAGGTTGTGTTTGAATCTGACCACACAAGGCCATGTGTCAATCTCTATAGGTACTGTTATTTTCCCAAGGGGCCGGACTTCCTCTCCGTTGAAGCCTACCAAAGGAGTGTCTGCTGGCTTCAGGTCGCTTTTCTGCAACTGGAGCTGGTCAAACGCGGCTTTGAAGAGTATGTCGGCCGAGCTGCCCGAGTCGACAAGTATGCGCCTAACCTCGAAGTCATTGATTCTCAGCTTTATTATGAGCGCGTCGTCGTGGGGGTAATGGACCCCTCGCGCATCGTCTTCTGTGAAGAAAATTGGCTCTTCCGTTCTCGGCCGCTTTGGGGGGTTCTGCTCCTCTCGGGTGACCTCGCGAACCGACGTCCGAGCTGTCGCTGAGGTGCACCCTGCAACGATCGAACCTCCCACTATCATGTGGATGGTTCCCCGAACTGGCCTCTCCTCTGGAGGCCGTCTCTGTGGTTGTTCGGCCGGCCTGCTACTGGACTTGGGAGCGTCTTTACCGTGCTCCCCTTGCCGACCTGTTCTATTACTACTATTATTGTTATTGTTATTTTGTACAAAGTTTCTCAAATATCTGCAACGGATGAGCTCCTCTATCTCATCGCGGAGGTTTTTACAACTCTCGGTACTGTGACCATGGTCCTTATGAAAACTGCAATACAGACGCTTATTCCTTTCATTGGGATTCCCCCTCAGACAGGGCGGCCACTTCACGTACGGGGCGTCCTTGATTGCCATTAGGATTTCGGCCCGCTTTGCGTTCAGTGGGGTGTAGTCAGCTTGGTCTGGTGCGGGAGCTCGGAACAACTGACCCGGCTTTGCACCCTGAATTGGGCTTGTGGGGAGAGAGCCTTATTGTAATAGGTTAGTGGTTGCTCTTGCTGCATCAAAACTACCCCTATTCCCTTACTTGAAGCATTAGTTTCAACCATGACTTCTAAACTGAAATCGGGTAGTGCCAACATAGGTTGTGTTGTCATTGCCTCCTTGAGCAATTTGAAAGCTTCTTTGGCCCGTTCATCCCATTCGAAGGCCTGTTTCTTTAACACTCAAGTGAGTGGAATGGCCATCACTCCATACCCTTGGATAAACTGACGATAGTACCCTGTTAGCCCTAGAAATCCTCTGAGGGCCTTTTGAGAAGTGGGCCAAGCCTAATTTACTATGCAAGCAATCT